TTTCCCTCCTCAAAGCGGGTTGTGGGACTACAGTCTTACAGTCTCTTCATGCTCAATGTGTTTCCCTGCACACGTACAGAAGAAGTGGACAGCCCTTTGGATAACATAGAAGAAAGAATACAGTCGGGAGAGTAGTGGACCGGAAAAGCAATTATCAGCCTTGTTCCAAGAAAGGTGGTCAACAGATATCGGCCCAGCACTGATGGTGGAATACAACATAAAGTGGCATATGTTGAAGGTTCCACCTTAACAGAAGATTAAAATTCTATAGTTGAAGCAGCTTGGAAAGATTTTAATCTTTGTGAGGTTGTTCATCTGGCAGAGCTTTGTAGTGGACCATCATGAGCAGTGGCAAAGACGCATCCTTCTCAAGGTGGAGATGCGGGCATGCTATGTGAAACAATAAAACTGAAGCTAAAGACAGGTACTGTGGCACAGGTTAGCCAAATGATGACCAAGGGATACAGGAAATATATGGAAGCCAGGTGTAGAGCCACAGGCCTGGGATCTCAACACTCTGGGAGGCCAGGGAAGGAAAAGCACAAGTGTGGGCCCAGCCTGGGAAATTTAGCAAATTAGCAAGAACCTGTCTCAAAAAAACAAAACAAAACAAAACAAAAAAAACAAATGAATAAGGCCATGGACGTAGTTCAGTGCAAGAAGTCTGGGTCCCACTGCAGAGGAGAGAAGGGGGAAGAATATTGCTGACACCCTAGACAGTCTTAAAGGAGACTGGTCATAGGTTCTAATGGAAAATACTACCAAAGAAGGGAGTTTGATTATGTTTAATGATTTGACCACTGTCCCAATCTCCATGTCTGCAGAAGAGTGCACATGGGAGCCTCTCAGACTGATTCTCGACATCTCAGTAAAAATACTAAAACAGGATAGGAAATATTCTAACAGGAAAAGTAGGAGACTTTGACAGAAGCCCTGTCACTCTATGAAGAACAGCTTGGGCACCAATATTTTCCTCTGGAATTTCAAAGAAGGTTATCCGTATCTCTTCATAGTTGGAAGTGTGGATATTTTACAATGCTTGGAAGAAAGCAAAAATCTTAAAGATTTTAAGCGTGTGTAGAGCAAAGAACTTCTTGACTTCTAAATCCTACACATGACATCAAGACGAGTCAGTCAACCATGAGTTCCTTAAAGTTTTCTTTTTAAATTATTATTTTTTTAATTAAAAAAGCAAATGGAAAATACATATTTCAATGAGCTAGTGTGTTATTTTTTAAAAAGTCATCTGAAGGACAGTTAGCACAGCTAAGGCTGTAAACAGGCCTAAGCCCCTAGAATGTGACTTTCATTACTTTTTATAGCTATGTGGGTTTTTGTTTTGTTTTGTGGGTCGTAAATTTGGAATTTTGGAGGAATGAACACCATTATTTGCTTCAGCAGAAATTCTTCTTAGTAAGAAAGTTAAAAACATGATTAGCAATGCTTCATTTAAAATTACAAAAGAGAAAAAAGAGTGAAAGAAGGGACGCTGTGTTTTCGTTGCTTCAGCCCATTAAATGGGACAAAATTTGTATCTATCTCATGGTGTCGATGTTAAAACTAATCAGCTGATTAAGGTGATAGCTGCCAAGACTTTCACTGTGATTCCTCATTTCATCTTCATAACTAATCAGTATTTTGTAGGAAAGTACTTTGAAATTATATAAATATCATTTTCTTCATCAATACGTGTTTATTATTTAAGTATAAAAATGCAGGCTGTGGTTTCTTATGTTATTCTCTTACTGGCCTTATGATGATGATACTAACATTTTCCCAAACTTGGCCACAAGGGGTCTCTTCAAGCTTGTTTTTATGCTCTTTTGCTCTGTTCTTCAAGCACATCCTTACTTTTTGGTACGAAAAGATGCCTCACATCTAATGGTCCCTTTCCTGCCTCAGTCCTGAAATCAGTGATTTCTCCAAAGAACTGTAGTTCTTTTAGCGGAGAACAGCATTTCAAACCCAAGATCTGGGCATTATAAGGGTTGTCTTAACTTGCGCTGTTATCACAAAATACCATAGGCGGGAGGCTGGGGGAGGCAGCAGACACATTGTTCCCAGTTCTGGAGGCTGGAACCCAGCATCAGTGGGGTAGAAGATTCTGCTCCTGGAGAGTGTTCTCCTCCCGGCTGGTAGACATCTGCCTGCAGACAGCACACACGGAAAGAGACAGAATGTCTGCTGTCTTTCCTCTTCTTATGAGGGCACTAACCACACAACCAGGGCTTTGGCACAAATTCATCTGAACCTAATTGCCTCCTAGAGGCCGTACCTCCAAACACCATGACCTTGATGGTCACAGCTCAAACTATAAATGTCTGTGGGAGGGCACGTTCTGTCCGTAACAAGGGTGTTGATGCTTCCATGTCCTCTGAGTGGAAGAGTTAGGGTCTCTGTGTATGTGTGTATATGGAGAAATGAAAAAATATGCCTGCACACACACTTACAGATATTTATTACACACTTTGGAGCTGTGGTGGTAAGCCTATGGCACGCTTGGCACGGTGGGCTGTTTGTTAGTGAAAGCTCTAAAAGGTTTGCCATTACTGCTTTAGATATTTTAAATCTGTCTGTATCTTGAAAACCATGTGTTCCCACCAATACTAATCCAAAAGCACAGCTCATTCTAGTTTCCTCCCTCTGAATATCTGTGACTGCCTTCCCCCGTAGTGAGATCCTGGATCCTGTTATCATGCAGGTATTTTCTTGTTTGGCCCACACACCTTCGGGAACCAAGCCTCCACCCCCGCTTCTCCCCTCCTCGCAGGGGTATCTCTGCACCCCTTCTCATCCTCCTGAGTTTCTAATACCTCTCTGCTGGGCCACCCGCTCCCCAAACCCTGGCTATCTGAGCCTTCTGGAACTTGCTCTCCTCATTCCAGTTGCCCCTGCAATTCAAAGCCCATCTCACTCAGGTCCTACCTGCCTTGTTTGGCTGTGGCTCACCATGTCATGATCCCGTCACCCTGCCATGTGGTCACTATCTTCACCCTATTTAGGCCCCAGCGTCTTGTGTGAGCGCCTCCCCTTGGATGGACTTCTTCACCCCAGTCAAGCTCTTACCCCACTGCAGTCGTGGGCCACAGTCACTCCTTGACTCCTTCACGTGCAGAGATCTACCTTGTCCTCTTTCGCCCTTATGACTGACTTGTTTAAGAAGAGTCCAAATACTCCCAAATATGTGTGGTAAAGATGATCTTTGCTGAATCTGGTTGCATTAGAGGGAAAAGTGAGCTGCAGGCGCTATCTGTTTTGTTTCAAATGCCACTATGTCACATAATTGGTTATGCAGGAGAGGCAGTTACAGTTACTCGTAAATCCCCAGTAAAGTTTTGCTTTGCACATTAATCCTGCTAGAGTTTGCGGGGGTGAGGGGTTAGCATTTATTAGTACGAAGAGTGATTCAACAGGCAAAGTAACTAAGAAGAGTTTTCTTAAGCAAACAAAATAAGAGAAATCTTCTTTTCCTTCTTCATTCATTCCTCAATAAATTGACATAAAGATTTTCCTCAGAAACCTAAATTAATTACAATTGATCACGAATGTCGGACTAAGGCCTTTGCTCTTATAGTTGATGTCAGCAATGGAAGTATCTGAATGGGTCTGTGTAGGAATGAAGTGTAAAACTGTGAGGGAAACTCTAACTTTGAATAGCTGAAGTTTTAAAAAATCATGAATATGCTGTATACTTCATTAACAGATTTTTAGGGTGAATGGTATAAAGTAAACCAATCAGGCCAGGGAAGCTGTTTACACTTGGAATGCTAATAGATTTTCTGCTTTTAGGGTTAATAAAGTATTTATTCCACTTGGACAAATATGCCTTGGTATTACTCCCTCACTTGTACTGCCTTAGTACTACCACCCTGGCATTCAGTCAGTAATTACTCATATTTACAATAAGCATAAGGTAAGGTATAATAAGAAGTAGTGCTTATCTGGAATAACTAGCTTCATCCAAGTTTTTAAAAGAAGTATTTGCAATTCTTCCTATTTTGAGGAATGGTTACTAAATATTTGGGCATTTGATTTGGGAGAAGCACCTTCAACACTGTTTAACCACAACAGAAGCTAAGATATAATAGGACGGTGCAGTTTTCTACACATAGGTTGGAGAAAGCTGCCTACTTCCTTTTTCAGTCGGACAGGCAATGCTCAGCATTTCCTGGTTCCAGGCATCAGAGCCTTCAGAGCCCCAAGTGTCAACCTCAACGTGCACTTGGTGAACCCAGAGCAAGGTGGGAGTACAGACTAAGGAGAATGGAGAGGACAACCAGACAGTGGGAAGGCAGGGGTTACCGGAAATGGGGGAGGGGATACCCGGGAAGCAGAGGGTCAAAAAGAGGGACTAGAACTGGAAGGAAGGGAGAGAAAAGCAACTGAGAGGACAGGTGAAGACAAAGTTATGGAAAGGTGAGATTATGAGGAATTATGGAACTACAGGGTGAATTGTTTAAGAAAAAGAAGGAAAATATCATACGTATGACAATGTGAAGGCATGGAGACATTTTGTTGATTAAGATTTACATTGTAACTTTGAAGACAGCATCCTCTGACCTATGACTTATGGCCGAGGCGGAGTAGACCGTCCTTTAGTGAAGTTCATAGGTTCCTACTGACACTCGGAGAGTATCTCCTTGTGAAAGAAATGCAAAGGTGAATTTGTATTGTATTTTAATTCATGGCTGATGTAACTTATACAAGAAATACGAAAAAAAGCCTTAGATCACATTGCCTTGAATCTATATAACATCTTCAAAGATTTTTAATTGACAACATATTCCTTATACTTTATAATATTATTCTGAGGTATATAGGAGATGTGCAGTTTTTACCCTCATTCTACAAAAACAAAGCAGAAGCTGGGCATCGTGGTGCATGCCTATAATCCCAGCACTCAGGATGCTGAGGCAGGATGATCACAGCGAGTTCAAGGCCAGGCTGGGCTACACAGAGAGGCCCTATCTCAAAAAATCAAAAACCACCAAAGAAAAATGTAAAGTAAAATAAAGAAGGATTTAATGTATACACAACATCTAAAGTAGGAATGTTTTGCCTCAGTTGTCCTGTTTTCATCAAGTGTGACAAAATTTAACTAATTCCATACATTACTATTGAAATTGTTTAAATTGAATTGATCCACATTACATGTAGATTCAATTTGGCCAAATGAAACTACATTTCAAACTTAACCCCCTGAGTGCAAAACTTGAAGGACTGTGTTCTGGTTAGCCTTTTATTTCTATCTCCCTTCATATGAAGGTTTCCCTTTTTTGTCCCAAAGATTAGCTGATAAGTACTGCTGTCTCTTGACCTCATTATTTTTTTTCTAAACTTTGGCTGAAAGAGAGCCCATCCCCAATGTTCACACTCAAGGGCTCTGAGACAGAGCCTTCATCCCCATGGTGACCTCCACAGCAGTGATGCTAATGGCAGTTCCTGGATCCCACCATCATGTGTCATTTTATAATTTCACAAAATTGAGTACCAGCAGAATACATTCCAATGCGATAAGTTCTGCAGGAGAGAGAAATGCACAGCTTTCATCTTCAAGGCACTTAATATGGCTCATAAAATTGTTTGCTTTTCCTGTTTGAAACTTGCTTTTTTTTGGCTTTTGCATCTTCTAGTGAATATTATTTTTCTGATTTTATTCCTTCACACTGTCCTGTGGTGTTCTCGTTATTCTTTTAACACTGAACTAAATAAACCTTACAATATTGCAAGTGTGTATTTTCCTCAGAAGAGAATGTGCTCTTTGCTAATGGCAATGATTTAATATTTTGCGGTCTTTACAAAAGAATTAGCAAGGCTTTCTTGGGTAAATTCATTTTTACAAGGTATTTAAAGTAAATTCTGTGGGTTTATTGCCCAGTGTGAGGTGTAATTTTCCCCAGAAATCCGGCAGCTTTGACCAAATCCTCATCAATCACTAAAGCCTCAGAGTAAAACATGACAACGCAGGACAAGCATAACTCTGAGTACTGAGTGTGACTGAGTACAAATGAAGCATGCAGTTCTGAAGACTCACAAAGACTTGGGAGACAAAACTGGGCACAAAATAGATCATAATATGTAAGAGGCGAGCTGGATGAGGCCACAAACTACATGTTTTTCCGAAGCCACTCAGCTATCCTGGCACTTTGCTTTGCGCTTTTGAGATTTTCATTCTTTATTGTCTGTAGTTTGGCATGAACTGAAATCCTCTGGTGCTCCTCCAACATGTTACTGAAAAACTGCTGCAGCTGGAAGGACAGAGAAACATTTTATCAGGCAATCTAACTTCTCACATAAAATAAAGCTCTCGCTAACTGGAGACATGATTCTGAGAAGGAGTGACAATGCTGGGAATGAGAAGGAATGCATATTCCTGAGTTGTGTGTCTGTGACTAACACCGTGAGATGCGGACCACACCTGTTCAGGAGAATTAAATACGAATGGAAGGTCCAGTAAGCAAGAACACATTTCTGAGTATTCTAGCTTAATTTCCACTACTTGCAAATGACATGGTCTTATATTTAGAAAACTCCAAATATCCCATAAAAATTATTAGAAGTAATAAACTTAGTAAAATTGCAGGACACAAAATCATATATAAAAATCAGCAGTGTCACTATATTGTAAAAAACTCAAAAAAGACATCTATTTTCAGTAGCTATAAAAAAACAAAAGTCTAGGATATTTTTTAACCAGAGTAGAGAAAGAGGTCTATAATAAAAACAATAAAACACTGATAAAAAATCAAAGAAGACACAAAATAAAAAACATCCCATATTCATGGCTCAGAAGAATCGATACTGGCAAAATGTCCATATTATCCAAATTAATCTACAGATTCAATATAATGCCTATCAAAATATCAATGACATTCCTCACAAAACCGGAAAAAAATTCTCAAATTTATATTCAAATATAGAAACCCCAAATAGCCAAAACAATCTTGAGCAAAATGAACAAGGCAGGAAACATTACATCTACCTTAAAAATATAAAGTTACAGTAATTAAAACAGCATGATACTGTATTAGCCTAAAAACAGGCAGACCAAAGGAACAGAACAGAGGCTAGAAATAAACTCATATATTTACAGTCAACTGATCTTTGACAAAGGTGTTCACAACATATATTGTAGAAAGGACTATACATTCAATAAATGGTACTGGGAAAATGGATGACTATATGAAGAAGAATGAAATTACACCCCTAGCTCTCACAGAAATCAACTCAAAATGGATTAAAAACCTAAATGTAAGACCTGAAACTATGAAACTACTATGAAATTATGCAACTGCTAGAAGAAAACAAAGGATAAATGCTTCAGGATATTGGAATGGGCAAGGATTTTTTTGTCTAAAACTCCAAAAACATCAGGGCAAAAAAGTAAAAGTACACAAGTGGCATTTCATCAAACTAAGAAGATTTTACAGAGCTAACAATTAAGTATGTGAAAAGAGAACCTACCGAGTGGGAGAAAATATATGCAAACTATACCTTCAAAAAGGGGCCAATTACCAGACTATATAAGGAACTACAACAATACAATAGGAAAATAATAATGATGATAATAACCCTTATTAAGAAGTCAGTGATAGATTTAAATACAGTAGAAATTTCTCAAAAAAAAAACCCTGCAAATGGCCAATGGTTACATGAAAAAATACTCAATATACCTAATCGTCAGGTAAATGCAAATTAAAATCACCTTCTCTTACTTCTGTTAGAATGACGAGTAAAAAAAAAAGACAAAAGTTAGGAAGTGCTGAGGAGGATATGGAGAAGGAATCTTTGTTCATTAGTGATATGAATATAAATTAATACAAGCATTGTGGAAAACAGTAACACAGTTCCTTAAAAATAGAATGACCCTACAATTCAACAATCCCACTACTGTGTATATCCAAAGAAAATGAAGTCAGTCTATCAAGAAGCATCTGCACTCTTGTTTTAATTGTAGTACTATTCACAATAGTTAAGAAATGGAAACAGTCTAAGTGTTCACCAACCAATAGCTAGACAAAGGAAATATGTGTATATGCACAAAGGTATATTATTCCACAATAAAAAAGAATGAAATGCCATTTGTGACAACGTGGATGGAGGTGGAGATCACTATGCTAAGTGCAACAAACCAGGCATGGAAAGACAGTACTACATGGCTTGAGTCATATGTGGAATCTAAAAGCAGTTGATGTCATAGAAGTTGAGGAGGATGATGAGTACTAGAGGCTGGGAGAGCATAGGGAGGGGGCAGGGGTAGATAGGAGTTGTTTAATGGGCACAGAGAGAGAGCTGGAAGGGAGAAAGAAGTCCTGGTGGTCTGTCGCACAAGTTCTCATTTTCTGTTGTGCAATGGCTGTAAATGATGATAATAGATGGTTTCTTTAAGCTAGAAGAAGGGGTTTTGAAAGTTTTTACCATAAAGAAATGATCATTGAGAAGACAATGAGGAGATATATGTTTGTCCTGATTTGAACATTATGCAATGTGTACATGCATTGAAACATGTGTATAACTGAAAAATGTGTATAATTTTTATGTATCAGTTAAATGTTTAAAAATAAGTTTTAAAAAGTATATTTGACAGTGAACTCATCCGCTGGCTAAACTGTCACTGTTAAGCATCAGTTATTGGAACATTTGCCCCAATATTATATATAAGCCAGACCCCAACTGAATAGTAAATTATACTCCTACTTCTGCATCAGTGCATCAGTCGGAATACATATCACTATAACAGTGTACCCATATCACATCACAAATGCTCACTTACACCCCGATGCACTTGAAATTGAATAGTAACAGGGCTCATAAGCATAATTACAATGTCAAAGTAAAGTTCTAGGAGAAAGTAGGTTATAGAGCTAGGAACAAAGCTTCCCTGCCCACACCTGCCAGGGGGCAGGAGCCACATGGCCACAGCTCCACGCCACGGGTGATGGGTGCGCGATGGGACTGCTGTGGTGGCAGCAGGGGAATGTGCAGCCTGTGGGGCCTTGGGGAAACTCCATGTGCACTTAAGGGCATGAGTGAGTCCAGACTTCTGACGGGGTGAAGCAAAAAGACAGGGCCAGAGCTGTGCAGGGTGTCCAGGAGCCAGAAGGGTGGGTAGGGACAAGGGACTCAGATGGTCTCCATACTGCACCATTGTAGCAATTAGGTAGCTATCGTCTTTTGGACTGATGTGATCTAGTAAGACTGTTGGACACTGATACATTATGGACAAAGATATTTGTTATAGCTAATTTGTTTTCAAAACTGCAAAAATCTACTGCTAAATCTATTTTTTTTCATTAAAAGCCAATTGTGACTCTAGAGTTTCGGAACTTTGAGGATTTCTAAATTTATACACACCTTATTCATTCATTTATTAAGCTAAAACAACAAAATTGGATTCTGTAAAGGCAAAGATTAACTGTCTATTAGAAGGTGGAGATGATCAAAATACATCATACGCATGCATGAAAATACTACATTGAAAACCATCGTTTTGCAAAACTAATAGGCATTAATAAGAATATAGAAAATATATAGTAAAGTACACGTCAGCAAAAAGAAGACAGCAAGCACAACTCAGTCTTGATCCCCAGAGCTCTCATGCCCAGCATGCTCTGCGCGTGCTTTGTTCTCCAGGGAATCCCTGCCCCATCTGGTCCTGCCCAAATCCCTAAGGAAGATGGTTCCTTCTGGAATTGGCAGTTCGCGTGCTCTCATTATCACAACTGCATAACTTACTGCTTCTCCTTTAGTTTTATTTGTTTTGGTTTATAGGCTGAAGAGCACATCTTAGGCCTTTGGGACCCATGCATTTATTTGTTTACTTGCTTGGGGAGGGTTCAGGTTTCCTTCTTGTTTACATAGCCCTTTCCTTTATTTATGGTCCCCCTTTCCTGTATTTATTAATAGTAGTAATTTATTAATAGTAGTAATTAATATTAATTAAAAGTAGCAGGCTCTAGTGTTTAATTTTAAACAATTTTATCGGGAAATAATTTATATATAACAAACTATAATGAGTTAAACCATGATGAGTTTTGATAGTGTATCGACCTTTGAAACTACAGGCACAATCAATACAGGACGCCTTTCCATAACCCTGAAATTCTGCCTCATAACATTCTGCAGCTCACTCTCCACTCCCAGGGAGCAACTGATCTGCTTTTTATTACTCTAGATTAGTTTCCATTTCTCAGAATGTGACTGATTTCTCTTACCCAGCATAATCATAACCTTGAGATTGGTCTGTGTGGCTAAATGTTTTTATTCTCTATTTTGTTTGGGGCTGGTACTCCATTGTGTGATTTTATTACCTCTTCCTAATCCCCTGACCCCAGTGGCTTCCAATTTTTTACTAATGTGAAGGAAGCTGCTATGAACATTCAAGTACAAGACAGGTCTTACTTCTCTTAAGAAAAAAACATCTAAAAGTGGAATTTTTAAGTTATATGTGTCTGATTAACCCTTTTCAAAAACTGTCTGTTTTCCAAAATGGTTGTACCAGGTTATGTTTCCACAATCCCCAGCAAGATAAAAGGGTTACAACGGTTCCACATTTTGCCAGTTTTTGGTACTATAAATCTTTCTGGCTTACCTGTGCTACTGGTTGTGTGGGAATTATGTCTACATTTTTGTTTCGCACTTCCCCCATTCCCAGGTGTGCCTGGGGTGTGAGCTGGGCTGACTCCAAGTGTAAGCACATGCTTCAGGCTGAACTGATCAGAGTGTTCCATCTGCACACACACACACACACACACACACACACACACACACACACACACTGATTTGCACCAAGACACACGAAGGTCCTATTTTGTTTCCAGGATGAGAACACGAAGCCAGGTAAGAAAGCATTCTCTTGTGACTGAGAGCACTGACAGTTGTATAAGCCTGGAGCTGTGCTTGCTTCCCTGTGAAGCCTGCATAAGAAGACAGTCCCTAGGGAAGCAAACAGAAGAAATAGCATGCCCTGTCTTATTCTAATATATAAACACAGCTGATAGGGTGTCAGTCCTCCAGGAGTTCACAGTAGCTCTCAGGACAGAACATCTATCTGCACACTGATTACAGTGTAATGTGGCAGGTACTACGATAAAGATACTGATAGGATAAAGATACTGATAGGATGCTTTGGGGACATGGAGGAAGAAAGCATATAAATCCATTCACTAAAACATCTGCTAGAATAGGCGGTTGGGAATTACCCAGCCAAGAACAGGGATGGGGATGGTACCCCAGACAGAAGGTAGAGAGTTTGTGAAATCTGAAGCATGAACAACATGCTCACTTAACAGAAGCCCCAAATGATACACATAGCTGGAGGAAAAGTACTGGGGGTCTCTTGTCAGTTCCTCTAGCTCTCTGACACGCCAAGGTGAAGTGGCAAATCTGAACCATAGAGTAAGACAGAGACCCGATCATACCTCTTGTGTGAATCAAAACACCTTTTAAATTTCTCCTAGAAACTATAAAAAGCTATGGATGCTTCTCAGTGGGCAAGGCCTGGCACCAGTGTGAAGGCTTAGACGGTGGGTAGAGCAGCTCAGAGGCCGCTGAAGGGATGCAGGTGGAAGGATGCAACCTCCACACACAGAGCAGTGTGTTTAGGGAGGCACCCGCTGCCCACAGTGACCAGAGGACCAGTGGAAGCACAGAGTGTAATCATTCAAATAAACATATAGTTTTCAATTTTACTCCAAATTACATCAAAAGTACTTTCTAAATTATCATTATATTTCACAATATTTAAGGTTCTTACCTCTGTGATCTGTAGGTCTGTACTTATGGTTCTCCCTATTATATATATTAGAGTAAACAGTGATTGGGTTCCATACCTACAAAGCAATGCAATGCTAATCAGGTGTCAAAAGTATTTCACAGAATACAGTTGTATGTTATGCAGCAGGAAAAAACACTAAATACACAGCCCTAATTAATTCCTACTTTCCAACTCTAAGCAAAAGCAATTAGTTTAGCTTCATGGTTCAATAGAAAATGTATTTCATGAAAAATTCTATTAACACTAAATAAATATTTATAGTTAGTACTGATCTGCATAACATTGTTTTTTAAAGTTTTATTTAAATATAATAAAATTTTAAAAAGAACAATTTTTTTAAAATGAGGTAAGTAGAACATAGACACAGTCTTGTGTCTTAAATTAAGAAATGTTATAAAGGAGTAAGTAAATATGAAATTATGTCCCCCGCAAACACAATAATACAGATCAATCTCAGAACCATTCATTAAGACACCCTGCAGTGTATCTAAAAGGCTGAATTTGTGTGTGTGTTTGGAGAGAGGATCCCTGTCTTCTGATATTCCTAGGATGACTACCGGCTCACTGCCATAGCTACCTGAGCCGCCTCCAGTAACTGAAAGTTCCCCTTCAGTTCAGTGTTCGCCATGTCTGACAAGAATCATCTCACAACAGTGGTGAAGTGTTGCTATGGAAAAGAACTGATACATACCTCTCCAAGGTGCTGCTGCAGTTAAAAGTAAGGGAATTTGAGATGCATTAAGAAAGAAAGAAAAATGAAAATAGGGTTATTATAATGGACAGAATAAGAGATGGTTAAATATTTGAACTGCCTTGGTAGTTAGTATCAAGTGAATTACTTCAAAAATGCATATTTGAAATTGAAAGTAATAGAAGTTAATTTTGACATACAAACAAATAAAAGTGAGAGAAAACAGAGCTTTGTTTTTGAAGTTCCCAGCAGTCAGGAAAGCTGTGGCTACCGGAGGACCAAGAAAGGCAAGACAGCGGCAGCCAGCAGACCCGTGTCCATGGGAAACGGGAAGGACGTTTGCTCTCCGTGTTCATTGGCCAAGAAGAAAAGGCCTGTGAGGTGACATAAGGCTGAGTTTCAACCTTAAAAACAAAAGTGTAAACAGAGGAAACCTGCCTAATGCGCTTACCATGCCATTTCTTACCAAATACAAGAGAAGGGTTTCCACGAGAGGCAGGGCTGCATTGAAAGCTATCTGGTGAAACTCATAGATTGTAAAAGTGAAAATAACATGTATTTGGAAGCACTATTCTGGGACGGAGACACTGTCTGTGGAGGTGCACACTAAAGGACCTTCCTTCCTAAACTCAACTGCAAGAGTTGTTCTTGAGTGAGACGAGATTGTATCACATTGTCTTGCAATATTTCTGAACAAAAATATAACATTACAAATAGTTTATCCTCATCAGTATTCAGATGTGTTCTAATTAATATAAAGACAAGTGCCGCTACGTGTCAGTACACTAACCTACGTAAGACAGTGGCAACATCCAGTGCTAGCGTGGGCACAGCCACGTGGTGCTCTAGTCTGGCGTGCCCCTCTGCCTCCCACCTGTCTCACAGGGCCCCTCTCCATCACCCTGTCTCTGCCAGGCCTGGCTCCCTGTGGGGAACATGGCCAATAGGCCAGCCTGGAGACACCAAGGCCAGGCTCGGGGGCACAGGCACTGCAAGGAGGGCTTGGCACTGCACCATGAGAACGTCTCCGTTTTGGAATGCTCCTGTTTAATCTTTTCCACTCTGTGGTCCCATTTGAAATCAACAGCGTGGCTGAAGACTTTGGGGTGTGTAACAACAGTCGGAGGAAATCATGGGCTTGGTGAGGAAGAGGGTGAGATTCATTTCGGACCAGTTAAGTCTGAAATTGATTGTGCCTTGAATTCAACGGTTAAATAAAGTAATTTTCCTGTAGCTGGTGAAGAACACTTAACATAAATGATTTAGGGAACAAATACTGCTTCTATCACATCAATAAAAAGTCATAAAAATACTATCGCTTCACACTCTTTCATAGGATCTAGCCATAGCTGCATGTACCTACTGACTTCTCTGTAACCAGAAAGGTATCTTTATGGCCAGTGGAGTCTCCTTTATTGGGGTCAGCTCTCTAAAGATCATCCTTGGTTCCAAAATTAAGTAAATTTCCCACAGCAGCAGTGGCTGCTTCTGGGAGTGAGGAGAAGGACCGAGTCAAAAGTTGTTTTACTCTATCAAATATTCCAACATGTTCCCAGATTAGGCTTCTGGGAAGAATTCTAGGCCTGACCGAGGCGAGGAAAGGTTTATAGTCTGCTGTTGGTAGACTCTCAGCTCCAACACCTGACTTCTGAGTCTTGGTTATTGACTGGTAATTTTTTCAGTGGTTATAAAAACTGCAATTATTGTGTATGTAAGCATGCTATTTAAAGGACTAAAGTTGATTCTATGTCCTAGTCACTTTACATCCCCATCAAGTGACTCGACCTGTACCTTATAATACTTTATTATCAGAAAGAACCTTAAAATTTATCAAAACTAACCCCTGTAATTTTATAGAAGAGAAAAACAAAGTCTAAATGTCAACTAGTAGGCAAACAATAGATGTTTCAGGTATAGATCTAGACCATCAGATGGGTAAATTGTGTAACTTTTCTCTCTTTCTTCTGGAACAAGTGGTCTACTGGCAAAATGATACTTTGTGGAGATTAGAATACCCCAAGAAGGAGATCACCAGGACTGATGTTAGGTTCCCAAAATGCATGGAAAACTCTAAGTTTCTTGGAGACTTTATGATGATAAAACATATTGTGAGTTTACAAAAATGAAGGTTAGAATAGACAGTTTTGAAATTGCATGGGCTACTTTTCTTTTGTGCACTGACGGCTTCCATGAGTAACACACAGCAAATCACACCTGAGAAATACTAAGTACTAACTTGTTGGTAATCAGTCACAGTTTAGAAAATTCAGTATAGGGGGCTGGGGATTTAGCTCAG